GGGGGGGGGTGGCAGCAGTGCTGGGAGGGGGGCTAGGGTCAATTTTGGGGTGGCTATTGCCTGTCCCATAGCTTCCTTCCCAGCACTGCCATCTCCCACCCCATCCCCACCAGCCGTAAGCACAGCCCAGGCCCAGCCCCCCTGCCCACAACAGCAGCCTGCCTTTGCCCCACACACAGATCCAGGGGGCACGTGCCCCCCGTGCCTGGGGGTGTGCACTGCTGCAGGGAATGCCCCCCCTCCCGTATTCCCCCGGATGACTTGTGACTCTGTCCTGCACCCCACCCCACCCCGGCTGTGCAGTGTTTGCCCCATCCTCACTGCCTCCCTCACCATGGGAGCCTCTATTTGCCACTACTCTTCTCTCTCCACCCTGCCCCTTCCCCCCCAGCAATCTTACCAGCCAGATGCTGCTCTCCAAGCTTCTGGGCTGCATTTCAGTAATTGGATCAATATCAGCTGATACGGCTGATTAATAATTGGCCATCGGTATTGGCCCAAAAATTTTTTATTGGTGCACCCCTAATTGAAAATCCCTCCCTATAATAATGGGAAAAATGGTTTATAGAAATTTATGGCTAACCATCAAAAATCGGTTCTGATAGCCAAGATTCTGGACAGTGGAATAATAATAAGGAGCTTTTCACAGTTGAAATTGTTTATTATTAGAAAAGGCAACATACGTTGTATGTATAGACAAATCTGACTTGAATAAAGTACGTATAGCTTAAGTGATTAAGCTCTCATTCCCACAATACACACTGTGGTGGTAAGGAGGAAGATTTAAGAGTTTTCCACCTCTGGGTTATCTGTATAGAAGTATATCAGTATATCAATTTGTGCTATTTTGATTTTTTTTTCAATCTGGGATTGACAACCTGTGATCCACAGCACAAGTGCTTCAGTGGTTGGGGCCTCATTCACCCTGTGAAGTGCCACGGCCAAGCATTTTGCCTATGCTGGGCTGCATCTGGGCAACAAAGAGAAGTGGCTGCAGCTGGAGTCTGCTACTCCCTCCTGATTATCAGGGAAGCTAAAACTGCGGTTTTAAACGTGGCACCATTTTTGCCCCGCTGCCAGTCAGCAGCAAAGAGCAGGACCATCTGGGGCCCCTCAGCCCATCAGTGGTGGGGAGGGAAAATGGGGCCATATTTAAAACTGCAGTTTTTGCCTCCATGCTGATCAGGAGTGAGCTTCAAACAGGGCCCCTCCACCAATGGGGGGGTGGGAAAACCTGCAAGATAAAAGGACCCACAGCGCACCCCACTTCTGCCATGAATTTGGTAGGCCCCTAACTATAGGAGCATGCAGGTGGAACTATTGATGTACACTCAAACTTAATGAAGCTAGGTTAGACCAATGCGTAGAACTTCTGTACTGTTACCTGCACACCCCCAAGGCTGGGAAAGCCCAGCTGCTTGCCTCAGCCCTAGAGCTGCACTTTTCCTGTCTGCCCCCTGGCACTGAGCTATTTTCAGCCCCCTGGCCCCTCACTCCCCCCTCTCCCCCAGCTGAACCTCCCACCATCCCACAAGCTGTTCTCAGTGTTGCTTTTATCAGCATTTGCTACTGTCAGGAGACAAGGAAGTATTGGTGGTGGGAGGTAGATAGGTTCATGGGGGGGGGAGTTGGATGGGCTAAAAATAGCCCCTGGTCCCCTCTCAAGCCCTCTCATGGACCCCGTGAGCCCCCTGATCCTACCAAACCCTCCCAGGCCCCAGGAACTCCCCTCAGACCCCATCTGCCCTCCGATTCTCCAGTTGCCTTCACAGATGCTGCCTGCCCCCCTCGTGGATGCCGCCTGCCACGCAATTCCCCTCCAGACACCTACAGGGTTGGCAGTACCAAACTGACTTGCACCATGAATGAAAGGG